CTTTGATGAGTTTCTCTCACACTTCCAGCGGATCAATGATTTTGCCAAAACGCAGCAAAATTCAGCTCTCTTCAACGCCCAACGCCTTCTTATCCAGGACCACTTCCTCCTGGTGATCCGCTCTTTTCCCTGTCATCCTCTCAGTTGGTGCACTGCCGCTCAGACGGTCAATTATTTGCAAGTGTACATCGACATCTACAACGATGTGTACAACGATAAGCTCTTGATTGAAAAGCTTCCTGACCAACACGAAAGCACCGTTGTGAAGAGGGCCATTAACTCTGACGAGGTCCCTGACGGTCACTTCCTCAATTACCTCAGCAGAAGCCGACTTGCGTCCAAAGAAGTACCTGGATTTGTCAAATACTTTGAAGAAGGCCTTGATAGCACGGAAACTCGCGAGAAAGAGGTTCGTGTGCCTGTGAGCCAGCCCAAGAATTCTGAAACATTCCGAAAAGCGTCCCAGAAGAATGTCGATTGTTACCTCAACGGGACAGCAGCCAATTCAGCAAGATTCAGTTCTCAAAATCATCGAAAAGATTTGCCCCAGGATCCCATCTACCTCAAGGTTTTCCGCCTCAACGAAGAGGTAGCCCATGAAGTCAGAGAGCTTCGAGCCATGGTCGAGGAGCAGTTCCACAAAGGCAGCAGACGGAGCTGCTGGAAATGCAAGTGTGTCCCGTGGCACAAGCATAGACGGCGCTAGTCTACAACCAGTCTTTATCTTCAATTCCATTAGGTATTTACAAGTGTCCCGCGAGACATGCCCAAAGATGCATAGGTGAAGAGCTAGTCTCTCTGTCTGAAAAACACACGAGGCTCCTCCTTTTCCGTGTGAATATCCTCCACAACCCGCTTGGGGATGTGCTGGGTGAGCTTGGCTGGCTTGGGCCAGTTCTCAGGAAGCAAACCTGCTCTCTTAAAGAGGAAACCAACACGATCGCTCACTTCGGCGCCTACACCCAACCAGTACTTCGATCTGTCAAAGTCCAACTCGATATGCTTGAAAGGCTTGACGCCCTTGGACTGTTCTTCTGGTGTGAGTGGTACTGGGACTGGGTTGTATGTGCCGATGACTTCCACAGGCAAGGAGTCTCTAGCCGATCTGGCGTTGGCCACGACGATATTGTAAAGGGGCTGATGCCTTCTGCCGAATCTGGCTAGCCTTATTCTGAGTGGTGGCCTGGGCATGGTATTTAGTGAGTTGGTGGTGAAGACTGACTTAAATTTTCTCACCTCTGATTCTCGCGCACTACAACTACTGGAGACCGGTTCTATCAAATGTGTTCGCTAATGTACAATAGTTTTTTTCTCTCCCTCTCATCAAAGCTTTTTTCTGGCCTTGAATTTCTGTTTGGGCTTGCCCACTCTACCGCCTTTGCCAGAAGTCTTGTTGTTCTTGACAGGCTTCTTGACGTCCTCTTCATCATCAGACCAGTTGTCTTCGTCCTTGTTCTTCTTGAACTTCAACTTGTTCTTCTGGCCTCTTACTGGCGCCTGTTTCACGGCATCCAAGTAGGCATCGATACCGGAGCCCTCCTTGGCCAATGGGTCGGCCTCGTTGTCGTCCCTGAACACAACCTTACCGTTCTTCATCTCCACCTGGTGCTTCTTCAAGTCCTGTTTGGTAAACTTCTTAGGCTTGGAAGAAGAAATGTGGGCCAAAGTTTGACGGTCCAACAAGTTAAGAGGCTCTTCGTTGTCCTCCAAAATGTACATGTCACCACCCTTGCCTCTCTTCTTGGACTTGGAGTTGTCCTTCTCTTCCTCTTCATCCTCAGAGTCAGAGTCGTGAATGGCCTCCTCGTAAGCAGACATGAACTTCTTGCCTTGCTTCTCCTGGGCGTCCTCACCCTCGTCCTTCTGCTTCTTGGCTCTGTTTCTCGTCTTTCTGATGTTGGCAACAAGCTTTCTGTCTTCCTCAGGCATAGCCTTCTCAACTTCATCAGCACCGAATTTTCTCACCAATCTCTCCACGATATGCTTCACCTTGGACTTGAAGTGGTCCTTGTGCTCGTGGGACCATCTCATCAACTTGGTCAACAACTCAGACAAGTTGGCACGCACAAGCTCTTCAGGCAAGGAGAGCACCTCAACCTTCACAAAACCAATAGCAGATTTGGCAATTTCCCTAGAGTTGTGCGTCAAGAACAACTCAACGGTGGATGCAAGCTCAACCAAAGTCTCCTGAGGCAAACGGTCCTTGAATTCAAACATCAAGCATGAAAGAGCAGTGATGGTAGCAGAGATCATATGCTGACTCTGAGCAGCCAAACCGGCACTCACCATGGTGAAGTACTCAGTCAAACTGGCCTGGGATGGCTCAGCATCCTCACCAAAGTCGGGAATCATGTTGTTTCTGATGACACCACCTTCGCCCATCTTCTGACCCATCTGGATCAAAAGACCAAAAGCAGACTCACGAGACTTCTCGTTGACATCCTTGGTGGACATGATAATTTCCTGCAAAATGGCGGGAATAAAGTGCAAGTCAGTCTCTGGAAGCATCTCCATAACGACTTGAAGAGCAGCCAATCTGTTCGTTCTGGAGGAGGTATGAGTGGTGCTGATGGTTTCAATGAAAACATTCTCGATATCAGAAATGAACATCTTGAGAGCATTTTGACCAGACTCAGACTCGTTGAGCTTGCTGATAATTCTGTAAGATCTCTTCTGGATGTTGACGTTATTCTCTCTCTTGACACCGAAAACGAAGACATTGAAAAGACCATTGTAAGATGCTTCTGGAGCGTACTTAGCCATGGCAACCACAAGGTCCATCATGGAAACACTCTGTGGAGGAGGCTGGTCCTTCTTTTGGTTCTGCTGAGGTTCAGCCTCGTCCATCTGGATGGCAGTGTGAAGGTGACCGAAGACCTTGTCCAACAAGCTTTGCAATTCTTCAGCAGGCAAGATCTGCAAGTAAATGTCGATGGTCTCCAAGATGTAACCTCTGGCCTCTGCGAGGGTGTTGACGTAAACATTAAATAGGACCAGGATAAGGTTGTTGGCCAAAGAAGACAAGTACTTCAAGTTCTCTTGAGCCTCCTCAACAGAGAAGTTCTGCAACATCAATGGGTCATCGGAAAGAGCACCCTTGCTGTAAGCAAGATTGGACTCCACTAGTAAACGCAAGGCGTGACAGATGGTAGTTCTCAGGTCGACATTGGAATAAAGCAAGTCACTCAAGGTACCAGCGAACTCAGTGTCAAAAGCCTTGCGCAAGTCATTAGGCAAGTCACAGAAGTGTGGAAGCAAAGACCAGATCTGGTCAATGATGGTCTGGAAAATCTTGATATGCATGGCCTCCTTGTTAGGAGCTTCGGCGACCTTTTCGTCGAACACAGTGGCAAGAGGCAAGATGTTCTGCTTGTAGTTCTGCAAAGAAGCAAAACGAACATTGTCTCTCAAGATTGGCAAGAGCCATGCTCTACCGGGTTCACCGTTATTAGAACCGGTGAGGTTGAGAGGAAGTTCGCTCAAAACAGCCTCAGGGCCCATGCTGGTGATACATGCTGCGATGAAGTCTTCAGCTTCTTTGTTGTATGGGAAGTTGGTGTCTTCGTTGGATCTCCACTCGCCCACGACTCTGAGAATGGAAAGGAAGTCTGGGTTAGCTCTTGTTCTGAGCTTGATGACAGCTGCAGTCAAGAACTCAAGCACCACTCGCGTGGCATGCTGGTATTTGATAGAGAAGAGCTCTTTCTCGATAAACTCGACGATTTCCGTGATCATGTCGTCAACTTCCTCGTAGATTTCTGGAGTAATGTTGTACTCAGCATTAGGCTGGAGCAAGAAGCTGTCTGGCAAGCCCTCGCTGAGAATGGCGATCATACACTGGGAAGCGGAAGTATAGATATCCTTGTTCTCGGAAGCAAGAAAGTCAGCAACGACAGGGAAACGTTTCTGGATCATCTTCACAGAAAGATCGGGCAGGATCTTGGCAAAGCACTCTGTACCCTTAGCCACAACAGCGAGCCAGGAAGCAGCCAAATGGGCATCGTCCACAGGAGGTTTCAAGTCAAAGATAATGTCAAGCACACGAGTGAATTTCTCGGTATCGATTTCGTTGGTCATGGACATGAACAAGCCGTTGAAGGCAGCAAATGCAGAAGAGACCAAGTACTGGTCAGACGTTTTAGAAACTTCAAGCAAGGCGTCACAGAGAGTTTCAACATGGCTAGCAGGCCAAGCGTTGGCGGATGTGATGGCTGTGATGAGCTGCAAGCAGTGGATTATAGTAGCGTTCAGTTCCTTGTTCTTTTCTGGTCTTTTACTCTTTGGAGCCTCAGAAAGAAGGCCTGACAATCTCTTCAAAGCCAATTCTCCACAGAGACCGGCTGCAACATGCGTAGGAGATGGGGATGCTGGAGGATTCGACAAGACTTTCTGGACGGCATCCTGGGCTCTCTTCCTCACCTTTGGACGGGGGTCAAAAGACAATTCTAGCAAACCCACCATGGCTCTTTTGGGTGAGACATTACCTGAAGCCAGCCACAGCCTGTGGTCTTGAGCCAACAAAAGGCCTTCCAAGGCACCGACTGCGGATCTGAGAAGAGGAGCACCAGCCTCTTCGTTGGACAACACAGGGGCCAACTTTCCAAGGATCTGGGTGAACTTTTGTCTTAAAAGGGCAGCTGGAGTAGCAGGGACCACAAGATCCAAGAAGTATGCAGCAGCGGTAGCCACGTTCGAGTCGACGATCTCGTCATCAGCCACAGACAGCTCAAGCAAGGAAAGGAAGGAAACAAAGTAGGCCACTGGGGATTTTTCGTTATTCTGTTCGGTGATGTTCTCTTCCACAGCAGATAAAATGAGAGCCAAGCTCTTCTGGTTGTCAAGTTTCGAATTGACCTGGGTTCTGATCTTGGCAAGCTTCTCATCGAGAAGATCTGCCTCAACAGACATGCCACCGTCGGGATTGTTTTCGTTCATGGTGGTGCTGAGCGATATATCTGTAGATCGAAAAGTGAGTATGGGCCTGTAGGTGATGAGATGCGATGCGTAGGGAATTTTTTCGACCTGCGTCACGTGGAGATTTCTGGAGTGGAGTGGAGCAGAGGATTATTTTGATGAAGGGGTGTTCGATTTGACTTTTTCTGTGACTTTTAGGAAGAGTTTATTAAGAAATGGGTTACAGATGGTTTTTTGGGCTGGCTGGTTCGAAGTATCTCATGTTTCGAGGACATCTCTCAAACTCATAACCACAATTACAGAAATAGACCGAATAGAACGATAACATCAACTCTGAATTAACCACTAAACAGGACATTCATATCAAAAATCTCCTCCAATAAGTCCCCCTCGTAGATCGTTTCCACTATGGCTGCAAAACGAATCCAGTCACATGACCAATTCGCACGACTTTTTCCACCAGTCAAATCTGTCCCATTACAGAGAGACCAAACCTCAACAGAGAACAGAACGCCCCAATGTCCAAGATCGCTGTCTCTGCTGCCTTGAGAGAATTGAGATTCCACTTGTCCCAGACAGGTGAGGCTTCTAAGCCTTTGAGAACCTTCTTGGTCAAGAACTACCCTGCCCTCAAGACCTCCACAGACTACAAATTGCCAATTTTGATCAGAGAAGCCTTTGGTGTTCCTCCAAGTGTCACTGCCAGATTCGAGAAGGGCAGAGAGGTGAAGAACAACTTGGACGGCTTGAAGGAGTCCGAAATTGAGGCTGCTGTCAAGTCTTTGATCAAGTAACGTCATAAGTCGAAGGAAGCTAGGGAATGCTCCTTGTCATTGGGTAAGTCATGGTCATATAATATATAAAATGTATTCTACAGAACAGATTGAAACAGTAGTTTATTAATGCTCGCTATTTAAAGTGTCTATGCTGACTTGCCAAACTGGTACATACCCCAACCCATGCTGCCTTGATTGTCGTTGAACAATTCGGTAATTGGCTCCTTGAGGTTTTTACTTATAAGACCGGAGGCCACAACCACAGGCACAAAATGCTCAAGTGTGGGATGTGCCAGGTACAACAACTTTTCGTGGTCTGTCTTGAGCTTATTGAGGTTGTTGAGAAGATCGGGCCCGTTTTTGAGCGTCTCTCCAAGCAAGTCATTGAATGGCTTTGTGTATGGCATGAGCTCGGAAGGGTTAGCGAGGAAATTACGAATGTCTCTCAAGTTGTGAACAGACATGCCTGAGGTGACCACCATTCCCTTCAAGTAACGCTCCTCAACAGGGTCCCAAATGAGATTCTGTCTGAAGAAGTCGAGCGCCTGTCCAAGCTTAAAATGGGTATCAAAGTCCTTTTCGTAGCCAGTGAGAGATACCTGAATCACACGAGTGTTAGGAAGATCCAAGCCAGGATCCACGCCCTTTGGTGGAGGATTCAAGGTGTCGTAATCCGAAAAAGCCACCTTGAAAGGCACCCAGACGCCGTGATCAATTCCTCTCTCGGTTAATCTTGAATGGAAGCCGTTTTCCTCAAGCTTCAGACGGATCTCCTCAGAAAGAAAGGCAGAGTTCAATGATCTGAACCACTCCTCGTACATGTGTTTGGGAAAGTTGTAGAAATCGTAGACGAGGCTGTTTTCGTCCTTGTCCAGCTTTGGAGGTTTAGAAGGAACAGCGATCTCCACTGCCTTAGATCCACTCAGCTGCCAATGAGCCGAGACAATAATGATATAGTCAGGCTTCGATTCGTTTTTGATCTTGTTTCCCAACTTTCTCAAGGCAGAATACGCCTTCTTGTTGCCAAAATCGGAGTCCTTGTACATGAAAGTAGGACCTCCATGAGACACGAAGTAACCAGGATAAGGGTTGGGGTTAGGCTTGACGGCCTGGAAGTTTTCGTCTTGAGTTTTTGTCACCATCTTGAAGTAAGCTCCTATTATGATTGCAATGAGAAGAGAAGGTAATAGCATGGGCGGCTTTATAGCGAGCGTTTGTGTTATATAGACATTGTGTGATAAGCGAGCCGTACGCTTTAGTCATGCTTATAAAGCACTATGTAAGTGCGATCAGAGCAGGCGTTACGAGTTAAGCAATGCTGCACGGGATATCTGACGAAATATTTTTGTAATGATCAGATAAGCAGCTTCAAATTCTATGGATTTGATGAGAAAGCATTTTTCACTTGCTTGCTGCAAATCGGTCAAAAGCAGGATATGGTGAACTGTGGCTGCGAAAAGAGGAGAGGAGATAACTTAAGGCGGCCACTGATTCAGGCGGACCGATACAATTTTCAACTCTCCATTAATCGAAGTTTTTGGTGGGGTTTTGATCTTTTTGAAGAATAGCTTGTTTGATGGGAAATGATTAGAATTTCATGGCAGGTCAGCTGAGGGTGTATTAAGAAGCTGCTTGTACTAGTAAGCTTCAGACTCGCTTCGGACTAGGAATTAGACTCGAGGTTCAGATTCGAGGATTATTAGTCAATGATGATTAATGTGGTCAAGAAATGGCTTTCGACGCTTAAAGTTCATTACTTCTGGAGCTTAGTGTATCCATAAGCTTTAGACAATGATGGTTGATGATAAGGCCAGATTCGAGGGTTCGACCGAGGCTTCACTATCCAAGACCGATCGAGCCACTGAGGTCCAGCCAATATCCCTTAAATCTGAGGATCTCATCTCGACCACTTTGGTCTGCAACGACTGTTTTGTGATCCACTTTTACGACCTTCCGTCCTACCGGACCATCTCCCCGATAGTGATTCTACACAGCGTACATCAACTTTCATGGCATTGATCCACCAAATCCTATTTACCACAAGCTTCCCCTTTGTGATCAAAAAACCAATTCACCCCTCAGACCTGTCATCTCGGAAATAACCCGTCAGACATCTGCCGAGCAAGCGATCGCCAAAGCCGCTTAAGCCCCAGTCTAATCAATACAAAGGACGATGAGGAATCTCGCAAGCCACACCTACAATTGATAGACATTTCCACGTGATGCAAATCAATAAAGGCATAGGTATATAAATGTTGACAATTCCCTGCTAGAGGGTCAGAATCATGACTATCAAGCAGAAACCGAACTTCATTGTGGTGGTAGCAGACGACTTGGGCTTCACTGATTTAAGCCCTTTCGGAGGTGAGATCGATACCCCAAACCTTCACAAATTGGCACTCAATGGCCTCAGATTCACCGATTTCCATACAGCTTCGGCATGTTCACCTACAAGATCGATGCTTCTTTCCGGTACTGACAACCATATAGCTGGGTTGGGTCAGATGGCCGAGATTGCCAGAAATTATCCTCACCTTTTTGCAGGCAAGCCCGGCTACGAAGGTTATTTGAATTACAGAGTCGCCGCCTTATCGGAGATTTTGGAGGATTCTGGCTACTACACGTTCCAAAGTGGAAAATGGCACTTGGGTCTCACCGAGGACTACTGGCCTTCTAAGCGAGGATTCCAGAAATCCTTCACTTTACTTCCAGGTGCCGGTAACCACTTCAAGTACTTTCCAATTGATAAAGACCACGGGGGACCAGCCAAGTTCATGGCCCCCATCTTTCAGGAAAATGGTGTATCCGTCGATCCCTATAGTCTCCCCGAGGACTACTACAGCAGTGACTATTTCACGACAAAGTTTTTGGAATTTTTGGGGGATGACAAGGAAAGAGACCAGCGTCCATTCTTTGGGTTTTTGACATACACCGCTCCTCACTGGCCTTTCCAAGCGCCAGAAGATGTGATTGCAAAGTACAGAGGTAAGTATGACGGAGGACCCGAGCTTTTGAGAAGAAAACGTCTAGACAAGGCATTGGAATTGGGCATTATTCCTGAAGGCGTTATTCCTCATGAAGTCATCACCCAGAGAGACAAGGCGTGGAAGGATTTGAGTGACAAGGAGAAGAAGGTTGAGAGTCGTATCATGGAAACATATGCTGCAATGGTCGATATTGTAGACCAGAACCTTGGCCGTCTTATTGACCAATTGGAAAAGACCGGTGAGCTTGATAACACGTTCATTCTTTTCATGTCTGACAATGGTGCAGAGGGTATGATGATTGAAGCTCTTCCTCTCACAAATGCCAATTTCAACAAAGCGATTGAGAAGGACTACGACAACAGCTTCGACAACATCGGTAAGAAAAATTCCTTTGTTTGGTACTCTGACCAATGGGCACAGGCTGCCACGGCGCCAGCTTACATGTACAAGTTGTGGGCCAGTGAGGGAGGTATCCGCTGTCCGTTGATTATCCATCATCCAAACGCCATACCCGAGAAGAACAGAGGAAATGTGAAACACGGCTTTGCCACTGTCATGGACATTTTACCTACGATCTTGGACTTGGCCGATGTGCAGCATCCTGGTACTGACTTCAGGGGAAGGACTGTGGTGAAGCCAAGAGGTTTGTCATGGAAGAAGTACATTACTGGAGAAGCTGATTTTGCCCATGACGAAAACTCCGTCACTGGATGGGAATTGTTTGCCCAGCAGGCCATCAGAAAGGGCAAGTGGAAGGCTTTGTTCATTCCCAAGCCTTTGGGTCCAGATAAATGGCAGTTGTTCGATTTGAAGGCAGATCCAGGTGAGCGTATCAACCTCGCTGAACAAGAGCCCCAGATCCTCGAAGAATTGCTTGATCACTGGAGTCAGTACGAAGCCGAGACGGGCTTGGTAAAGTTTGGCGATGAGATGTACGAAAATGCCGACTGGGACCCAAAGATCTTGTATCAGTAGGACGATACGCAATATTTCGCAGCCATAGATAATAACCACAATCCAGGGAAGATAGCAGGGTTCCCCGCATTTGCTCAGCCGGACCATCAGAGAAAGATCAATATTCACCAGAACAATAATTACACTGCAAATGCTTCTTCCCTCTACTTAAGCTTTGATGTGCCTGGGCGCAACAATGGCCTCCATTGTGCGTGCCTTATCGCCCGAGTGCCACAAGTCAGATCTGAAAGTTCATTCTCTTCTTATTTCCATGCCCATAGTCCTTTGAACTGTTTTCCTTTCGCTTGCAGTAAACAAACCCCTCTGCTGCACTATCAACAGGTATGCCGAGCCTGAGTCACATTCCCGATTATTTGTAGGCTTGGACGTCATGGATACGGCAGACTACGGCAGTCTGGGTTAGAAGCACAAAAAGCCGCCGGCAGCAATAAATGGCTGCGAAACACCCGGTCTATTTTTGGACCAACAGGCCGAGGAAGCCGAAACGAAAAGCCGATTTTGACATATTCCCTCAAAAGTTCCAAACCCGCAAAGAAAGCAATCTTAGCCGCCCCTCGACCCACGTTGGTTTTGTGTCTTTTACTAACCTTGCTGAGAGGCTCCTTCACAGTATTTTCTTCCTTGCGCAATCGCACCTATTCTGCACTCCAACGGCTGTCCTTCACCTTTTGGGCCGTCATCATCACAAGCAATTCTTCCCTACTCCTGCTTCTTTCAAGGTCTGCTCAAACAAGTTTAGAATCGCCAGAATGCCGGGTCTTTTTTCAAGAAAGGTATGTTCCCACCTCCGCCCCGATCTTCCCCTCCGTAACAAAGTACTAACCCCCAGAAACGCAATGACTACCAGGGATTTGCCAAATACACGGAAGCCTACACTCCTCCTGCTGTCCAGCAGCCCCGTTCTCAAAGTATGACCAACGCTTCGCTGGCTGCTTTGGCTGCTTTGGCGATGCACAATAAGAACAACCAGGCGGGTTCGGAGCAATCTTACAACCCATCGTTGCAGGCCTACCAGGCCAGTGGTCGGGCTAACTCCCTAGCTGGAAACAGAGCCAACTCCATGCGCTCATACACTTACAATCCCAAGCCCTCCTACCAGGCTGGGCCTGCGGCCAATAGAAGCTACTCCTTGAGATCAAACTCGCTCAGAGGGGCCCCTCCAATCAGATCAAACTCTCTTTCCCAAAGACCAGCCCCTGCAGCAGCAAGAACACCCCAGGTTCAGAGGGCAAGCTCCTTGACGCAGAAACCTACGCTGATTGGCCGGACCGGCTCCTTGACTCGCAGCCCCTTAAGTCAGAGAGCAGGCTCTCTTACGGGATCTCAACGCGGGCTCAACTCCTTGCAGGGATTCAACGAGGAGGACGAGGAGTTCAACGAGGATGATGTGATCTCCACAACAAAAACTACAAAGGTCGTGGACTCTATGGGAAGAACATGTTCCATCACCACCGAGACCATCAGAACCTTGCCCGATGGTTCCAATGTGGTCGAGACCACCACCAAGAACCTCTCGAGACCTACCTCCAGGTCCAACTCCTTCCGCAATAATTCCTTGACTATAAACCACTCAAACGCTAATTATAACTTGAACAAGATCGACGAGGACCTCCAGGACTTCGATTACAACTACTTGGATCAGCATCCGTCGCAGCCGCCCAGGCTCAATTACGGTCATGAGGAACCAAGCAGAGAAAGCAGTAATTCCCAGTCTCTTGGACCCGCTTTCGATGCGCCTTCGAGATCAAAGGAGTTTGTTCAGAATTCTGCTCCTCCTCCAACACGAGAGCAGATCGAACCTACTACCTCCCCACTGAACTCGGCATCTCCTCGCCTCAAGTCCATTTTGAAACACAGCCCGAATGTACCTCGCCCTATCCTGCCTCCGGATGTATCTGCTGACCGCTTAAAGCATAATCTTAGCCCGAATGAAGGCGACTTTAAGGACGCACATGATCAGCTTCATGATCCCTACAGTCAGCCTCAAAAGGCCACTGTCGCTTCCAATGCCTCCGGTGGTAACTCGATTAAGTTCTTAGAACAAGTTGAGGAAATTCCCTACGAAGCAAACTCACAAAACCTTGCCGAGTTTAGCCGAGCTGAAGCACTCAAGCAAGAGAAGGAGAAGCAGGATAGCATTCTTATGTACGAGCAAGCTATGAAGGTTGCAATGGAGAGGGTGTATGGTACATCTGAACCACCAGCCCTGGCTCTTACACCTCCACAGACTCCAAAGGAACAGTTTGAAAGTCCACAAGCTAAAGTCGATGATCTAGCAGATAAGAAGGTAAAGAAAGATCATAAGAGAGAGAAGGATGAAGGTGGTATCAGCACGAACTATATCTACGAGAATCATCACAAGGACTTCGCAATGCGCTCTCTTCGTGGTGAAGATGATCCCGGTAGCAGTTCTAGAAAAGAGCGTGCCAAAGAGGAGAAGAGACAGAAGAAGGAGGAAGAGAAAGGAAAAGCTGAGCTTCTCAAGTTGGCTGAGAAGGAGAGAAAGAATGATGAAAAGGAGGAGTCAAAGAGACAGAGAAAGAGCTCGAAAAACCCTCTTTCGTTCCTAGGCATCAAAATGAGAAGAGGAAGTCAGGGCTCAATCACCTCTTCTTCTTTCAGTGGTAACCGTCAAGAGAAGGCACATGAAGAGCTACTGCAATTCTCATCCGAGTCTGGAAGCAAGGCCTCGCCACAGCAGCCTGTCACCAAGGCGGAGGAGCAGTCAGCTTTAGTCGAGGAAGCACCAATTAATTCCAATTCCTACAACAACCCTTACAGCTTTCCTCAGAAGAACGAAGCTGCCAATGTTGACACCAAATTAGCATCTGCTGGCAATCGTGATACTGCTCGTTTGCAAGAGTCCACTTACGCTACACCTACATCCAAGACTCCACCTACTTTCGACAACTCGATCGACAAGACGGTGGCCGATACCCCAACAGAAGAGGTGTTCGCTAAACCAGAACGTCATGACCTCAGTGTGCCTCCAAGATCACCCCTTAGAGACTCAAGTGCGGTGGAAAAGGAGAGACACTTGAGATCGCTCTCGGAAGGTAGCAACATGACTGATTTCCTAAATGAGCCGGCACAACTAGAGAAACCTGTTCCAATTGGCGAAGTTGATGAGGCGTTCCACGATTCTAGAGATGACTTCATTGACGTGCCTGAAGAATATAATGACGAGCCCAACAATGCTGATGGGGGCGTTCCTGAGACTTTGATTGACCAAGAGCCATATAAAGTTATCGACGTACCTGCTTCTTCGCGGGAAGGAGGCGTCGTTTCCGATGTGAAGTCCCCATCTGCTGCTAAGGCTAATCAGACTGAGCCTGTCCCCGAAGCAGCCGATGTTCCAGAACGTCCGCAATCAACAGAGCAACGCGCTGGTGGTAACTTAGAAACCACTTCTAGAGCACAGCCTGAAGATGTCCTGAAACAAGCTGTTGGTGGAGAGCTCCCTACTATTGTGGCAGGTGAAAACAACCATCCAGTTGTATTGGGCCAGACCGCGGAGAAGGATCAATCGTATGACTATAGCACCCTTGATCCGGGATCTCCAAGCTCCAAAGGTGCAGCAACTCAAACAAGGAATGGCGCTGCAACAGTATCCTCTAGTGAGTCGGCTGTGGCTATCCCTGCTCCAACGAAGGAGCATTTGGATGAGCGTGCCGAAGTGAACCCAGAAATTGCTCACACTAGCGCAGGAGCTCTTGAGCCATCTGCTGCCATTGAGACGAATTTCCAGCCCCACCAAGCTCAGTCCAATGTGGCTGCCGCTCCACAGACCATTGAAACGAGGTCAACGGAATCGTCCTATGCTGACCCCGAGGTTACTGAGGCAGCTTTGGGAACCGTCGGAGCCGAAAAGCAACACCCAGTCCCAGACTCTCTAGGAGTCAGACACAACAATGAAGGCCCCAGCCGTGAGCAGCCATCCTATTCGTCCGGGGAAGCTACCGAGGTGTCGGTTCCTTCCCAGCAAGAGAAGAACGCCAAGCCCAAAAAGAAGAGAGGCCACAAGTTCAAGAAGATGATTGACAAATATTTTATCAGCTCCTACAGCCGCTGATTTTATCTAGACAACTATTCATACTACTCGATAATTAATGCATAATGGTTAGTGCGCCGCAGTAGATATATAGTGCGCTTCACTGCGTGTTGGCCGATAAGAAATTCTTCACTACTTTCATGCTATGCCTCTGGAAACATTGAATGAAGTTCCAGTGGACTTTCCTATGAATTATAGGGCTGTCTCGCTGCTGGATACCAGAGGTGCTTCCTCTTCAGATGCAGATCTTGAGAAAGCCTATAAAGATCTACTCTGGGCTTGTCGAATCGGTGATACTGACTTGGCTGATTCGATCACCCTATTGCCCCAGCTTGACATCAATAAGGTCGATGAATGGGACTATCTGCCGCTCATTCTTGCATCTTTGTGTGGGCACTTACCCATTGTGGAGATGCTACTAGCAAGAGGAGCAATCTGTGAAAGAGACACTTTCCAAGGAGCTCGTTGTATCTACGGTGCCCTTACAGACGACATAAGAAACACGCTTTTGAGTTATAACATTACGAAGAAGACTGATACGGATCAACCCTTCCTGGCGCATATTTCCAGCTTACTATCGCCATTGATGGTGTCATACGCTTGCAAAGACATTGCTTTCGTGTTTCCGCATGAAAGAGACAGAGAGCTACAGGTTTTGGTGGTCAATCGGTTTCTTCTAGCGGCAAGAAGCTCATATTTTAGAGAGCGAGTCTTGCCCGGAGGTATTTGGTGCTCTTCATCCAAGATCACCATGCCTGCTGAGATAGATGCGACGACCTTCAAGTCCGTGATAGACTACTTGTATCTTAGAACAGATTCTTTGCCGCTTGAGAAGCCTCCCATGCAATTGCTACAGTATGCGTTGGACTTCAATCTCGAGCATTTGCTCACAGCGATTCTGTATGAGGGTGAACTCCAACCAAAGGCAGTAAAGTCACGTCAGGATGCTGAGTTGCAGTTTGTAAAGGACGCAAGACTGGATATGGAAGGGTTTTTAGAGAGTCACATTTTCCCCAATGTCCTTGTAAAATCTCTCGACGATATCGATCTTAAGGAGCTCAAATATGGAAGTGATCAAGACGACGAGGAAGAAGAGGAGGTTGATTTTGAAGAGCTCGATGTTAGCAGAATGCTTAGTTACGAGGAGCGCCAGCTGCTCATGGAGTCATCTGCCCTTCCAGATGCTATCTTGTGCTCCGTGGATCTCGAATCCAATACCGTGGTTTTTTATCCGGTTCATCGAGCAATGTTGGTGAGAGCAAATCTCTATCAGACCATGGTCGACCCCAATTGGTCAACAGAAGCAGCAGAGATTCCACTTGTTGATTTCCAAGGCGACTACGCTACTCCAAAAACGGTCGACAGGCCGTTGATGGAACCACACCATGTTCCTGTCATTCGAACATATATGGGAGCCACAAGAAGAGAAGTTCCAGAGGTGATTCTTCGCTTCCTTTACTACAACGACTCTGTGGTGGTTGAGCCTGAAATAGCCGTCGAGGTTCTTCTTGCGTCAGATGAACTCAACATTGAAAGACTCAAGTCCATCAGTGTTTTGAGTCTCACAAACTTTGTGGGAAGCTTTGCATTGGAGAAGATTGCTGAGCTTCCATCAAAGGTTGGCTATGATGTGTTCGAACTTATCGAAATTTCATGGCGTTTGCAAGCCGAACGGCTCGAGCAGCATATGACGAAGCTCATTGCACACAACATAGAGGCCGTCTTCGAGGACGAAAACCTCCGGAGCAAGCTTTTACAGTTAATCAAAGCTAGTGCTCACAGAATTCAGGAACGTCAATCCACGGATACCATTGAGTTGGTGGATGATATGCGTTACTACTTGGCCAAAAAATACGCGGTGTATGACGAGTTCACCAATTTGGAGGGTATTGGTGCCAGTTTGAATCCTAATATGGCCGAGCCAGAAGATAACCGGACCTTCAAAGCAGCATTGCTTGATTACGAGTACGATGTCATGATTGTGGATAAGCTTTTAGACGAATTGGGCTTGGACGCCTAAGTCCTTGTTTCAAGATAACTTATCTTAAAAAAGGGTCTGTTCAATAGAAAGCAGCCCACATATCTTATTTATTATATTATATATCAATGAACTATGACCATGAAAAGTCTGTTTTCCTCTCTTTCATTTGATCATAAATCTGTGTACATGGTGCATGCAAGGCATGCAAGTTCTCGATGTGCGTAGTATTATCAACCACACTTTTGATATCCAACAATGCTGCTTCAAGAGTTGATACACAAGTTCCAGTTTCAGGAAACCCTTAAATCCGACCCACAGACAAAGTCACTTGTCTTGCTCGGAAGAATTGACAATGAGAGTGCCATAGTGCTGCTCGAGAAATCTGCTTTCAGTCTCGAGTCCGATGCCGACGTTTCCCTAGAGAAGATCATTCAAGACTTGAAGCTCATACAGAATAATGATATCTACTTTTGGTCACTGGCAACCCTATCGCAGAACATTGATCAGACTCCAGCTGCCAAAGTGAACTTGATATACCCAGCTACAGAGACCCACATTAAGAAGTACTCTCTGCAAAAACTACATGTTGTCAGAGAGACCCCAGAGATCTTCAAAGAGGTGGTTGCTCCATTCATAGAAACCCAGAAGGGTGACAGGATTCAATGGGTCCACAACATCCTATTCCATGGCAAAGAATCTGAGAGTGTTTTATACCACGATAAAGACCCTCAAAACGGTTTCGTTCTCCTTCCTGACATGAAGTGGGACAGGATAAGCATGGATGCTCTTTACTTGATGGCAATTGTACAGAGAACAGATATCTCGAGCGTTCGTGATCTCAATTCGTCGCACACAGACTTCTTGAAGTCATTACAGGAAAGGGTCAAGAAATTAGCAAATGAAACGTATGGGGTCGCCGAGGATGAATTAAGAGTCTTCATACATTACCAACCTTCTTACTACCACTTCCATATCCACGTTGTGAGAGTCACCCATCCAGGCTTGGGTGATGGTATAAACGCCGGAAGAGCCATTTTGCTAGATGATGTCATCGAAAACATTCAGCTTGTATCCGACTATTACCAGCAACGTACACTCACATACGTTTTGGGGGAAAATCACAAGCTTTGGGATGCATTGCTGAAGCGTAATATTACATAATCGTACCGTGAAGTCTATAAACTAGTAATTGAACTCAGCTGTCTGAGCTCTTTCAGCCATCTTTGCCATTCTCAACATCTTCTTCCTTGGGTCCTCCTTCTTCTTGCTCGATTCGGCACCGAAGTTTCCACTGGTTTTTCCTAGCTTCTTGGGTGTCTCTCTCAAACCGAAAGTTTTGGCTAAATGTCCAAGATGGAGGAGCTTGACATTGAAAAAGTTTCTTTCCGAAGACAAGTGAGTGGCATAGGCTCTGATGTGTGATGTAAATGCATGCAGCGCTCTCTCGAGTGCTTTGGAGTCTTCCAAAAGCCATCTTTCGACTTCAAGATGCCAGGTAGTAGCATGGATATCCCATTTGCCCTCTTTAGCTTTTGGATCGATCTTCTTTCCTTTTTGAGGGGCAGCTTCGCTATTCTTCTCACCAAAGCTGTCTTTTAGCAAAGTTTCGAAGTTCACAATTCTCAAACTACCCTCCTTAGGATGGACCACACGAAGCTTTCCGTCAACATAGCCCTCCTCCTCACCAGGAAGCAAAAAGAGGGTGGCCTCACCTTTATTACCTGCTCTGGCAGAACGACCAATTCTGTGCAAATGATCGTCAATGGAAAATGGTGGGTCGTACTCCACAACACTAGCAATGTTTGGCAAGTCCAATCCTCTGGAAGCAACGTCTGTGCAGAAAAGAATAAGGTGCTTACCTTCGTTATCTCCAGAATCACTCATGAATCTCTGGAGAGTCGAGGTACGCAATTGCTGCGAGAGGGAACCGTGCAAACGGAAGATGATTGTGTTGTTATCGATCTGAGGAGCAGTCAGGAAGCACAGCTCGGTTGGCTCATCATCTTCACTTTGCTCCTTCTGGCCACTTCTACCTCCTCTAGAAAAAACTTCAAAATGGAAATTCACAGAGTCCGAACATGAAAAGAATACCATGGAACGAGTAGTCAGGGTTCGGTAGTTCTTACTGATTCTCTTCAATTTAGCCGCAAGAGTCACCAATCTCAACTTTGGTGGAACAACCATCACCTTTTGAACAAGCTGATCTGGTGCAGTTGCATCTCCATGGAATGTGGTGTCGTTCTTGTCGATAGAGATCCACTTGGGGTTGTTCAAAACTGTACTACCCAACTTCTTCACATCCTCGGGCATCGTTGCTGAGCAAAGAACATTGACGATGTTGTTTGGAAGAAGAGGCCACTGGCGCAGAGAAGCAGCCACTTTTGAATGACGTTGCAAATGTTCCGTAATCTTTGTAATTGTTTCTTGAAAGCCAAGCTCCACAAGTCTATCTCCCTCGTCCAATATAAGCCATCTGGTCTGAGAAACATCAAGGGACTCAGTATTTTCCAAGTGGTCAGCCAAACGTCCTGGAGTAGCCACAAGAATATTCACACCTTTTCTAATTCTGGCCTTCTCTGACTTTTTCTTCTCACCACCAACCACAATACCAGGCACAATGTGATGATGACACCTGAGCACTGCTTCAAGAACCGAGTATATTTGAGACGCCAACTCTCTCGTTGGGGTCAATATTATGCCAAAAAGCCCACTTTGTCTGTTGATTTGGGTTTCTTCCGACATCAAGCGATGCAACATGGGGAGAACAAAAGCCAAGGTCTTACCGGAGCCTGTTTGAGCCTTCACGAAGAGGTCATCATTGGACGTGAGCATCTGGGGAGCCACTGCTCTTTGAACTTTAGTTGGAGAAATGAAGCGCATGGAACCTTTAAGATGTTCGCTCAATTTCTCATTGAGTCCGAGACCAGCAAAGGTGGAGGCGTCGCTTAATGGGGCATTAGATGGAAGGTGGGTGGTTTCGCTCGATCCACTTTCTTGAAGGGTCTCACTGTTCTTATTGGATGTGAACAATGACGAGACATATGAGTTGTTCTTTCCACCGAACTCACCTGAACTTTCGTTAAACTTGATTCTTTTAGCCAGTCCTCCTAGAGGTTCACCATTTTGTCTCTTGGCTTGTGCATCATCGTCTTTTGGTTTCCTGGCTTCTCTTCTCTTCATGTCATGCTTTGGTTGTGGCCTTTCTTTGCTGGATTTGTCTGGGTTTTCATCCTCATACTTCTTTTGAAGCTCATTGAACTTGTTGTTCGTGACGTCTATACTGTTGACGCCAGATCCTTTTTTCCACTCACGGCCTTGCAGCTTCAATCTTGCATTTCGGCGGTCTGTCCAGCGACCTCCCTTAAACTTAGTAGCTTGTTGCTTTGGCTCAGTCTCAGTGGGCTCTGCTGTAGCAAAGTTCAATATCAACTCATCGTCACTCATTATGCTTGGAGGAGTTTGTGGAGTAGAGTATCTTTCGAGATGGGGGACTGCAGGATTATCACTACCGATGAGCTCCCACTGTGAAGAGCTACAACATGCAAAATCCGAAATCGCCAATAAAGCGGTATTTCGGTAATTGATCTATTCAATTGAAGCCTTTTTATCGACAATATTTTATTCTTTATCGTAATTTCGAATTTTGCAGCTTTGTGGGATTATCAGCTGTATTGATTTGGGTGCGAAATGCACCAGAATACTTACAAACGAGAGCTGAGACAAGAGACAAACAATAACAAAAAATCGTTTATGCATACTTTTTATGATTTGTATATGTACCCAAAGAGAAGATCTTAAAGCCCACTCAGTGATTCTAATTTACATTATGCGAAGTCGTCAAACGTGGTCGTGGCATCGACGGCATCCTGCGAAGGCGATTGAAGACTGCCCAAAATATCCTGTGTCGCTGGGTCACTAGTTGCCTTCCAGCTCAATGTCAGCCAAGTTTCCTCGTCAAATTTCTTGATGTGCTTTAGGCATGAGCCCAAACCACCGTAGGTGCCCTCTGACAGTAACTGGTTACTGGCCTTGGCAGCCGTTTGCAAAACATGCACAGCATTTTGTTTCGTGGGATCCAGAGTGCTGACCTCCTGCTTGGAGTGAGCTGTACGAGCCGCTTCTAGCTCATCAATGTGCTTGAACAGAGGTTTGAGCTGAGCGGTACTATCCACCGGGAGAAGCACCATCTGTAAGTTGCCGTCCTTCTCGACAATCTGGCCAACATAAAGACCACCATCGGTCTCGGTAAGAACTCCTTGTAAATTGGATGTGGCCACCTTCGTACCTAGTTCCTCAGCACGGGCTTCGTCATAGAATCTGCTAGTATCCATTGGTACTTTCATCTCCACCACCTTACTTCCCGGTTTGATCGAAGATCTGAGACGCTCCTGGTCGAATGGACGGCTCTTTGGTCTGCTAGTGTATTGAAGGACATGAAGTGACTGGGATGATCTGTGAGGTAGAGATCCATGGACCACAGGCATGGTCAGTATGATTGGATCGTCATCCTCCTCTTCCATAACACCCTCGTTAGTGTCCTGGTATTCCTCTAAAGCGGGAGACTCTGAAACATCTTCGTCCTCTGCAACAAAGAGGTCTTTCTTATCCATGCTAGAAGAAGTGATGGTTACTTAGTGGACTTCGCATCTCGAAAAAGTATACAGGCAGCGAAGAGTAGTGCCTTGGGGATCGATCGATTGCCCAGAGAGGAAAATCTCTCATCGGTGAAAGCATTTAAAAAAACTCGAGAAGAAATGCGAAATTATAGAGAATACATAGAAAACGGTGATTTGTTGATATGGGAGTTTTGTTCAGCTTCTATGCGTTAATATGTAGATGATGCAACCATGGCTGCGAAAAGTTTGACGTATTTGGAAGTAGCTTCTCACAATCAGATTATGCGAACAATGATTTGATTCCTTTGATTTGACTACTGCTTGAATTGAAAAGAGATTTTATTTGGAAAACAACAGAAATAATAGTAAGGATTCAGCGAATGGCAAGGGGACTGGGATTATTGGAGTCTAACCCTCAAGGTCAGCTAGATCAACCCTCAAGGTGAGCTAGTTTAACCCTCAAGGTGAGCTAGTTTAACCCTCAAGGTCAGCCTCGACCTCTCTCTTGACGAAAGGCTCACCTGGCATGAATCTCAACCAGCCCCAGCCAGCCTCAGCGTCGGCGTCTCTCTTGACAAATGGCTCACCTGGCATGAATCTCAACCAGCCCCAGCCAGCATCAGCTTCGGCATCTCTCTTCACAAATGGCTCACCTGGCATAAATCTCAACCAACCCCAGCCGGCTTCAGCGTCAGCCTCGGCATCTCTCTTGACAAAAGGCTCGCCAGGCATGAATCTCAACCAGCCCCAGCCGGCCTCAGCCTCAGCGTCTCTCTTGACGAATGGTTCGCCTGGCATGAATCTCAACCAGCCCCAACCAGCATCAGCCTCTCTCTTGTGCTTGTCACCAGGAAGGGAGGCGTAGGCCTGCTCCATGATAGTGGAGTTAAGCAAGATCACATAGCGGTGGTCACCGTAGGTAACCGACAATGGGTACTCATCAGAGTCGAAGGAGAACTGACCAATGATTGCCTCAGTTGGAACACCGAAAGAGCTCTCAACAGCGGATGGCACAGCAGAGACTGTTGGGGAGGGAGCTGGAGCGGCGGAAACCAAGGAAGCAGCAGCGGCGATGATAGCAGTAGTGGAGAACTTCATTTTTTTCTTTTTTAGTGTTTTTGAATCTTTGAATGGAAGATTGAAGCTTTGAGTGTTGATGATAAAAAAAAAGAACCCAAGGAGGCCTGATCCACCCATACTTATAGTTCTCGAGGGCACTCGATATGTTTCAAAACACCCATTGACTGCTTCTTCGGAAACAGACAATCATTTCACAAATATACGAGCTTGCGAAGACCCAATTAGGCGTTCAAAGAGATTTCCAAAACTCTGAGATAAAATATTATATCTCAACGTCGCAGAGGGTCCATTGAAGGCCGAAAAGGGAAGTCTTATTGCGATGTCGGCAGCACATGAATACATCTCAATGTCAGAGATCAAAATTAATATTTTTCATGGCGGGCCGTGCTTGGTGAATCCAAAAGTTTGTCGTTTTTGATTCGCCGAGGTCTCTTTACCCCTGTGATCCAACAAAAAATAAATTATAGGTTTAGATGAAACTAGCGCATGAAACGAGTTAAACCATAATTATTTCTCGTAACTCAACTTATAGAGAATTCAATGGCAGATATCATACTTCCATTGATTTCATATTGCGGTCAAATTCGGGTTGGTGAGTGAAATTGCCGAGGAACCAATGCTTGGATAGTAGCAGAGAATTCTGCTTCATTGAAACAATAATCCCCTCGAAAAAGTTGTGAATAGATTAATAATTGTGTAAGGAATTAAGATCAATTTCCACGCGTCTCTGGTTCTTCTGGGGAAGCCATTAACCCCATCCTATACTCGATGCGAATACATCAACGATACGCCTCAATATTGCACCTTCAAGATTGCTCCAATCAGGCTGAAACGCGTCTGTGTAAATTTTTATTACAGTAGGAGTTCATAATAATGGGTAGTTTTGATTTTGAGATGAAGCTCAAAAAATGAGAGCTTTGAGAAAGTGTACACTTGTCTTTCTTATTTGGCCTGCACATTTGAATGTTATCTAAGTCCGATATAGTGTAACGGCTATCACGGTTCGCTTTCACCGAGCAGACCGGGGTTCGACTCCCCGTATCGGAGTACATTTTTTTTGTATATCGTCTATTTACAATCATCCGTTTTAAGCTTAGTAATTTTCGGTAAACCTGGAAGCAGTTCCAACCACACGTGCATTGCTATAGCAAAACAAGCAACGTGCAGTTGTGACACCACGAGGTCAGCCTTGGGCTAAGTCACATGTACTGCACATTGCCGGTCAAAACACATGAAGCATAATCTGGGGTAGTGACCGGCTAAGAAGATAAACGGATCTTTTAATTTAAAGCAATTCAAAGACATACCGAGTATATCAGAAGATCCGTCTTATCGTCGTATAACATACCCGGATCGGGTGTTATCAGTATGTTTACAAGAGCGCGGTGCCCGATAAGCACTATACACGATAAGGAATGGCATGTATTGGAAGCCGGGACACACAGTGTCGAGGAAGTAAATATCTAGCGACAGATAATAAATAAGCAACGCCAGCGCCTTTTATGTATTACGAGGTGGTTTCAGGCACGTAAGTTTATTCAGAGCGGAAGGACTTGCTCTTTTTCTGTTTGCTGCGTGCAGCCTTCAGCTTATCGGCCTCCTTGAACACCTTGTTCTTGCTGAAGTAGTTGTTGATTTTGAATTTCTCCGAGTACACAGACTCAGACAAGTCGTCTTCGTCGTCAGCCACCGCCAAAACCGAAAACTGGTTGTGGCTCACTCGTGAAGCTGCCCGTGATTGTGGCACCTTGGAGGTCTGCTGTCTGTGCCTGGCGATCGAAGCCACCTCGGCATAAGACAACTTCCGGTAGGCGATATCAACAAAGTCCTCGGCGTCATCGTTCATCGACACATGATACACCTGAGACGAGTCTCTGTCGGGCATGGTGAAGGAGGTGTTGACCTCACCAGGGGACAAGGGAGCTCTGGTTGTGGACTTGGAGAACCAGCCAAAGGGCAAGACGGACTTAAACATCGGGGAAGTTTTGGGGTTAAAAGAAGGAGGTTTCCTGGGGTGGAAAGGAAAGTTGGATGTACTAAAGAAGAAAAGTACGAGGTTCCAAATAACCCGGGGGCACCCGTCCTTTATATATGGTAAACAGAGGTGCAAATGCGACCGTGCGTAATGTCTGAGGGGTGCCACATGCTGGCACAGAAACGCTCGCTTGTCATATGTAATGGTATGCAGTGACTCATTTAATGAAGTTAGATTAGGTATTTCGCCACTTTGAGGTGAGTGGCAAGATCTCCGTCATTTCGCTCAACAGGCACGGTGACTCACCGAGGATATTGTGGTTACGGGGCGTACCAGTTACACGTGATCTGTCACGTGACATAGGCAATTCAGGATATTTAGCCCCAATTGGCCCCCATTCGTAGCCCAGCTTCAAAATCAAATCTTGTTTTCTCGAATACCTTCACTCAATGCTAACTTTGCTGTTCGGACCATTTGGTCCATAGAGCGCGACATCAACACTATCTACACAGACCGAGCACCAACACCACAATGGACGGATGGGCAGAGGTATGTATAAACAGACACATTAGTCTAATTCAATGCTAACAGCCAGGTGACCAGGGTGTCTGCTACGGCACGACCAAACCAGCGGAACGAACCTCCGCAAATAACGTCCCTCTTATTTGACCATACTTCGAATCTTGTCTGGTGCGCAGACTCAGCAGGTTACACTTGTTCATATACCCCAGTACAGCAGGAACATAGCGGCTACGGCTTGCAAAGCCCGTTATCACTTTATAAGTACACGAAGTTTCGGGCCTCTCCTCGTGGAGATCCTGTATTACAGCAGCTCAATAACCAGAAGGGCATTTTTGCTCTTTCCAAGTCGTCCGTTACATTCAATACCCCTCGAGGTCTCAACAATGCTTGCTTGACGCTGCTGCTGTTCAGTGGAGATGAGAAAAAGAGCTTTGGCGACTTGTCGTGTATGACGCTGGCTTATGCTACTTCAACCGATATAATCGTCGGTGGAAAGAGGTCCTTGATGAAAGTCGACGTCAACAAGCCTTCCATCGTTCAACAGTACAATCACGACAAAGAGCTTCTGTTTGTCAATCACCTGTCCAAGTTGCTTGCCTTGGGAAACACGTCAGGATCAGTGGACCTCTTTGATACCTCCTCCAACGAAGTAGTGAAAAGTTTGTCAGGCCATAGCGGGCTCCTTTCCGATCTTGATGTGAAGGGAAACTATATTGCTACATGTGGCTACTCGGCCCGTCCCAAGCGTTACGGGTCTTCGTCCGCTTCCTATGTGGTCGACCCATTGGTGAACATCTACGATTTGAGAATGATGCGTGCTGTCTCGCCAATCCCTTTCCCCGCTGGTGCTAGCTTTGCCAAATTTTACCCAAAGTTACCCAACATTGTGGTTATTGCGTCCACGACAGGTCAGATCCAGTTTGTCGACATGTACGACCAGCTGCAAGTGCACTTGTATCAGGCAGACTTGTCCATGCCCAACAATGCCAGCAGCGTGGCTGCCACAACGTCTTCTTATATGATAAACTTGGATGTGAGTGACAACGGTGAGTTCCTTGCTTTCAGTGATGGTCATAACACCATGAGCCTCTGGGGAATCAATTCTGGAAATAGCGGAAACTTCGTCAACTATCCTACCTCGTTGGACCTTCCAGAAGTAACCTCACAGCCAAGTGCTAATTCTGTGGGATTGGATGAAACGTACCCGCTCAATTCTGTTGGAATGCCATATTACAAGGAGTTCCTTACGTCGTACTTCCCAGCTGAGATGATCTTCACCAAGGAGCTTCTGAAAACTCCAATCAAGATCGACCAAGAGCTTCTTGACTTGAGTGAACGAAATCCCGGTAAGATACTTCCATATGACACGTCCAAATATGGTCCCCGCAATGTTGTGAGGGATGACGAAGAAGATCACACTAAAGCGCCTGAGAAGGACAGAAGCATCAACTTGAAGCAGGCTCTTGTACCCAAGTTCATCAGTGAAAGAAGCGCCACCGCATCTCCTCTACCGAGAGATGCAGACATCGGCTCTCCTAACACGTGCTCAATAGCTTCATTTCAAGAACCTCAGACGCCCAGCGATAACCAGAAGCATCTTCAAGCATCAGCATTTGAAGACCAAAATCACGACAAGACCATTTTCCAATACAAATCACCTTATGCAAATCAAGTCCCATCATGTTATAGCAGACTTGAAATCCAATACTCGAGATTCGGTGTTGATGATTTTGATTTCGACTACTACAATCAAACAGGGGGACTCTTTTGTGGTCTTGAGAACCATTTGGACAACTCTTACGCCAACTCTTTGATCCAGATATACAGGTTCCTGCCAATCTTCTACAGCGTTGTCACTGGCGCTCTTCTTGAAGAATGGCTTCCGAACTCCACAGAGGTCCTCATTGACCAGCAGAATCCGCAAGGCTCTTCCGTGCTCAATGAGCTTGGTTATTTGTTCGACATGATGCATAAAGCAGAGGGAAGAAACGTCAGCATCAACAACTTTTCTCTGATTCTCAGCGAGAGCCCTATTGCAAAAGCTCATGGGCTTATAATCAAGGATGACGGCAAATCTCTTAATGCTCGAGAATTGCAAAAATTGATGATCACTTTCAACAAGTTCCTCGTGGAGTCTGTTGTCAATGACTATGCCAAGCAGTTCAATCTTTATCTTCAAGACATGACATCAATGCATTATGAACTCAACATCTTCACGAATAAGGGTGAACATATAGAGAGACAAACAGGAAGTCAAGCGACACTTGACTTGATGACGCCGCCTATGAATGTCGTCAACAGACTAGGCGGTGGCACATACACCCCACCTCAGGCTTCATTGACTAAAAGAAACTACACATTACTCAATTATCTCGAGTATTCATTGAACCAAAGCAAGGTGTTACCTCCTTCCAACCTGAACCCATACCCCTTGGATGTGAAGCAGACTTTAACGAAATTGGGCCCACTCTTGCTGATCAACATTCCTTTCAGCGCTCAAGAGTATGAGCTCTTAAGGCAT